TTATAAACGAGCAGATTGAGACTCGTTCCATGATTTCTTCTGTTATAAACGAGCAGATTGAGACTCGTTCCATGATTTCTTCTGTTAAACGAGCAGATAAACTTCTGATAAACGCCAGATTTCTTCTGTTATAAACGAGCAGATTGAGACTCGTTCCATGATTTCTTCTGTTATAAACGAGCAGATTGAGACTCGTTCCATGATTTCTTCTGTTATAAACGAGCAGATTGGGACTCGTTCCATGATTTCTTCTGTTATAAACGAGCAGATTGGGACTCGTTCCATGATTTCTTCTGTTATAAACGAGCAGATTGAGACTCGTTCCATGATTTCTTCTGTTATAAACGAGCAGATTGAGACTCGTTCCATGATTTCTTCTGTTATAAACGAGCAGATTGACTCGACGATTTCTTCTGTTCCATTGAGATTTCCATTTTCTTCTTTATAAACGAGCAGATTGAGACTCGTTCCATGATTTCTTCTGTTATAAACGAGCAGATTGAGACTCGTTCCATGATTTCTTCTGTTATAAACGAGCAGATTGGGACTCGTTCCATGATTCTGTTATAAACGAGCAGATTGAGACTCGTTCCATGATTTCTTCTGTTATAAACGAGCAGATTGAGACTCGTTCCATGATTTCTTCTGTTATAAACGAGCAGATTGGGACTCGTTCCATGATTTCTTCTGTTATAAACGAGCAGATTGGGACTTCTGTTATAAACGAGCAGATTGGGACTCGTTCCACGATTTCTTCTGTTATAAACGAGCAGATTGGGACTTGTTCTCTGATTTCTTCTGTTATAAACGAGCAGATTGAGACTCGTTCCATGATTTCTTCTGTTATAAACGAGCAGATTGGGACTCGTTCCACGATTTCTTCTGTTATAAACGAGCAGATTGAGACTCGTTCCATGATTTCTTCTCTTATAAACAAGCAGATTAGGACTCGTTCCATGATTTCTTCTGTTATAAACGAGCAGATTGAGACTCGTTCCATGATTTCTTCTCTTATAAACGAGCAGATTGGGACTCGTTCCATGATTTCTTCTCTTATAAACAAGCAGATTGGGACTCGTTCCATGATTTCTTCTGTTATAAACGAGCAGATTGAGACTCGTTCCATGATTTCTTCTCTTATAAACGAGCTGATTGGGACTCGTTCCGTGATTTCGTCGTAACGCCTCTTGGAATGCAATGTTTAAACATCCTGTTCAAAAATGCCTGTCTAATGTCTCCTCCTGGGTGAAAGCTGGCATCAATGCTTTCATTCCAGCATAGAAATACCAAATTACACTGCGTCATTCTCCTTGGTTCTCACCTGCATGCTCGGCTGCTATAGCCCACAGGAATTACATTTTTTGGTTGTACCAGAGCGAGACACGTCTGTTTACAACAGACGTCTCTTTGTCTCTTCTAGTAACGACTGCAAGCCTCTGTCCTCAATGAAGCGATGTTACTGTTTGCTGATAGAATGAAACAACGTATAGCATCTCGCAAGTTTGGTTCTAGAGAATATTGGCGGTTCTGCAAGAGTGTGCTGAACAACAGCAGATCCTCAATCCCTCCCCTATTCAATCAATTCGAAGTCCTGACATCTACAGCAGATAAGGCTAAATGCTTTGCCCGGAAATCCCCTTCCAACTCAACATTTGATTCATCTGGAGTACCCACACCTGATTTCCCCGTAGAACTGAGGCTCTACTGAATGACATGCGCAGGACCACATCACTGACCTCGGACATCGTTTCTAAATTAAACTCTCATAAAGCAAGTGGTGGTGATGGGATACCAGCCGTCGTCCTAAAGAAATATGTTTCCGAGCTGGCTGCAGTCCTTCGCAAACTCTACAACTATAGCTCCGCTACATCCTGTTTTCCAGCTTATTGGAAGTGTTCCTCTGTAGTCCCTGTGTTTAAGAATTCTGGAGAACCTTCTGACGCCTCTGACTACCGCCCTATTAGTCTCATACCGCTTTTTGGCAAAGTATTCGAGGCTTTAATCAATGTTGACGTGGTTAAGCATCTTACCTCTCACGACCTACTCTCTGGCAAACAATATGGATTCCGTTTTACCCGGTCTGCCGCTGACGTGTTTATGGCCATCACTGAATACGTATGTCAAGTTCTTGATAATAACGGTGAAGCTCGATCTTGGATCTAGATATTTCAAAAGGCGTTTGACAGGGTTTGGCATGCTGGTCTTCTACGTAAGCTTCGGAGCTACCTTATTACAGGACGATTGTTTGATTTAATCCAGTTATTCGTATCAAATCGTGAAATGAAGGTCATTTTGAACGGGCTCGTTTCCACATCCAAAATGACTTATAGAGTGTAGATAGTGTTTATTAGAAAGATTTATCTTCTTCTTCGTGTGTGTGTGTGCGTGCATTCAGTATGTGGGTAACCATAGCTCTCCACGACTTCCTGTCCTTTGTAGACTTTAGTAAGTTTTGTCTTTTTTCTGTCTCTCTTAGTCCTTGTTCTGCCAACCATTTACAAAACCTCGTTAGGTTGGTTATTCACTGCTTTCCTCTGTCTTTTTTGCTTTCATTATGTCCTGTGAACGTCAAATTCTCCAAGCCCTCTTTCCTCATTTGTGCTCTAGAAATTTCAACTGTCTCTTTCTGGTTCTTAGTATAAGTGTCTTTTTTGTTTCTATTTTCCCTAAAACGTCCCCGTTGTTCACCTGTTGTGAACTAAATTCTACCTTATTTAAAACGTTTTAAAATAATGCGTTAAAAGTAAAACGCATGAGGATAGTTACGTATGCAAACAGCTAACTTCCCGCCTCAGAGGAATGAACGTAATTATAGAAGAGTTCCATAGGATTTATACTAAGCTGTTTGATTAATTCCTCTTAGTAACTAATCAATTAGCAGAAAATTCCAAAATGAACACGTTTCCGTTGCATGCTATTCACGCTGGTCGCGTTTCATTCGTTTTGACGCGTCGATTACCAGCACAGCCGTTTTTTCTCAAGACAAACAACGTTTGTACAAAGACTTATAATTTTTTTAGATTTTTATAATTTTATACTTGTATACAATTTTTAAGCATAACTTGAAGACAGACATACTGTCAAAATATTGTTGAACATTATCAAACATTGTATCTATCCTTTTCTTTTTCTTTTTCCTTTTCTTAAATTTCGCTCTTCTCTAAGTGTTGTAAAATATTGATAGAGTTACAGCAATCATTTTGTTTCATAATAATAATAATAATAATAATTACATGTAGTTTTGGCTTGTGTACATATCATGATATATATAAATTTAGGCTTTTGCAGCCAAGCTTATACAAGTTTATTATAAATATTTCTCTGACAAAAATTTCACTGTATTCATCAAGGAAATGATAGCAACTAATCAAAAAAATAAATTAAGTAAATAATTTACATGACATAAAAATGATGGCATTAGAATTAATGAAATCGAGAAACTTGAATATGAACAGGTTATTTGATAATGAAGTTAAAAGAAAAATAGAGATTTGGTTTACCATTTAACGAAAGAGATAGAGATTTCAGGCACGTTGATATTTAAGTAACGAAACTCTTTTTTGTTTCTAACTGCTGTTTTTAAGACATTTTCGGTTGGCTTTTGTTGTTTCCAAAAAATAATTGTTTGTTAATGTTTTTTCTACACTTTTCTTACTTTACTGTTGTTTCTTTGCTAATTTATTTGTTCTCGCTCATTGCTGTTCCTTTGTCGCTAATTTTTCTTCTCTCTCCCTCTCTCTCACTCTGTTTTCCTTGTTTCTCTCTCTCTTTCTCTCTCTCACAATTTTCTGTTGCTTCATCGCTGTGTTGCTTCTTTCTTTCTTTCTTTCTTTCTTTCTTTCTTTCTTTCTTTCTTCTGTTGCTTCTTTGCGATATTTATTTTCTCTCTCACTTTCTTTGCTGTTACTAATTCGCTAATATGTTTCTTCTCGCTCCTTGATGTTGCAAATTCCCGAATTTAATTTTCCCACTCTTTCGTGTCGTTTCTCCGCTAATTTGTTCTCTTTCTCCCTCTTCCTTCGCTGATTTTTTTCCTGTTACTTTTTCACTGGCATGCTTTTCTATCTGTTTTTGCTGTTGCTTTTTCGCTAATTTGTTTGTTTTTTGCTCCTCTCTCTCGCACTCTCTGTTTTTTTTTATTCGCTAATTTGTTCTCTCTCTTTCTCTCTCCTGTTCCTTCTTTGCAAGTCTGTTCTCTCTCTCTCTCTCTCTCTCTCTCTCTCTCTCACACACACACACACACACACACACACACACACACACACACACTTTGCTGCTGCTTCATTGTCAATTTGTTTCTCTCTCTTCTTTCTTTGCTGCTCCGCCTTTGTTAATTTTTTCTGGCTATCTGTTGCTTCTTTGCTAATTTGTTGTTTTCTCTCTCTCTTTGCTGTTACTTCTTCACTAATTAGTCTCTTTCACTCTCTCTACTTTTGCTTCTTCGCGAATTTTTTTTCCTTACACTCTGCTGTTCTTTACTGATTTTCTCTTTATGGTTTTGTTTCCGTTAATTTTATTCTGCTGTTATTTAAGTAATACTTTTACGTAATCTAATTATTTTGGGTCCGAAAAATATTTTTTCTGGTATTTATTCTGTTCTTTCTTTCTCTAAAATTCTTAATCGTTTCTTCTGTTTTATTTTTTGTTTCCTTTAGTTGTTTTATTCTTTGTGTTTGTTCTTGTTTCCTTAACTATTCGTCCTTTTTTCATCTATTATTTTTCCATTTTGTCTTCATTCTTAAATATTCCTTTAATGCATTTTCTTACTTGGTATTTTTTCAGACCACTTTGCGTACTGTTTTCTTTTACTTTACCCCTTAACATTTGGAGGTGTTCAAATTCAAATGACTGAAATGTTGCAACAAATGACAACAACCACGAAGAAAATGTTCTGAATGAATAAATCTATAATAATAATTACAGTTCTAATCCAGAAATTCAACAAAATATTTTTTTGTTTCTTCAATTTCACGTTTTCTCATTTTATTTATTTTTTACAGTATTCCATGATTGAAGGCACCCTGGAACATCCTAATCTAAACAGATGGTGGGGCTTTGGCCAGTTTAAAACAAAAGAAAAAGAAAATGCCCTCAAGCAGGTATGAACGATGAATATGGCAGATTTTCAATTGAGACAAAATTCACAGATATTTGCATTATTCAAGGAATCGATTATTTATGTCCATTTTTAACAGAAAATAGGATTCTAGAACCAGACTGGAACGGTAAAACTTGGAAATCTTTTATACAGAACAATAGTGTTTTGGGGTTCAATTTTCTTGTAAATAATAATGAATCTGTTTTGAAGGTTGATACTCAGCAACAATCAGTGTGACTACATAAGCAACATTGAATTTTATTCCTGCCTTTTACAAGGGAGTGCTGAAAAGTTACGGTTCATTTCGCAAAATATAACTTAATGAGAAAACATCAGAATTTTTAAAATTATTTCTTAGTGGACCGAACATTTTTCAGTACACTCTTGAATTAATTTATGTGAAGTGTAATCAGAAACTTTCAAACATTTAGATGCAAATTATCTTCAATGTTTTCAAAAAAGGTATGGCATTAATGAACCCCATTCTTCAGTTCCAACAGTTAAGGCTTTTTTAGCTATGATATGCCATGCTACATCGAGAGAGTTGAATCACCTTCATCCCCTCTGTATTCCACTTGTAAGGAGGAAGTTCTCAAGAACTGCTATTGTGTGGAAACGATTCCCACGTGGATGCTTCCCTAAACGCTACCGCCTTAACTCATTCCATAATCAATCGTTTTCCATCCTCCTTCTCTTCACACTTCCCAACTTCTCTTGCATTCATATCACACACCTTATTCAGTAACTCTCTACCTTGAGTGACTCTCGAGTTTTTTATTGGGTGAAGTTTAGTATAAAACATTTTGAAAGCGCACATTGGCTTACAGGAGTGTTGCAGGATTTGTGTGCCAACAGAGAAGTGTATAAGAGAAAAATTTGAAGGATTAAGTAGTCAAGATTACCTCGGCCTTCAAGATCGAAGAAGGCATGTATAGGTTATTTATTGGGTCTGTGAATGCTCAGAAGTTGTTCACCTATTAATTAATGGTAGTTACTTATGTCATTTCGGATAGCGGGCGAAATTGTACTAATGCAGAGCTTTCGTATAAGTGAATTGGTATAAATTGGCCTTTGAAAAAATGGTGGAGTTGTATAATAGATATTGCGACCAAAAATAATCATTTTTTTCCAATTTATTTTCATATTATCATAGATTAAGCACTGATCTGATCAGGAATATTAAAAAATAATTTAATTAAATTTTATAAAAGTTGAAAAGGGGTTCCAGTTTGCTATTTAAGTTAACTGTAAATTGATTCCCCCCTACAGAAGCCCAAACAATATATAGTATACCACATGATTTCTAAAAATTTTAAATAAATAAATAAATTTTTATTCTTTATTGATATGTTACTATCGATAAAGCACACCAGATTATAAATTTTTAAAAAGTATTTTTTTTTTTGAACATTTTAAAAAATCAAATAGTATGAGCATATTTTGTCTTGACTTTCGTAGGAGGGCAGGGATCAATTTGCAATGAATTTATATAGAAAATAGGACCCACTGCTCATAGTGCCTATTGTAGAACGCCGCCCAAAAAGCAATGAATGCCTGTATATGGAACGCATCAAATTATGAATGATGCCGCTATATGAAACAAAGCAAATTACGGAGAATGCCTGTATATGAAAGAAAGCACATTTTGAAAAATGTCTGTAGGGCATATGAAGTAAAGCAATTTATGAAGGATGCCTGTATATGAAAGAAAGCACGTTTTGAAGGATGTCTGTAGTGCATATGAAGTAAAGCAATTTATAAAGGATGACTGTATATGAAAGAAAGCACATTTTGAAGGATGTCTGTAGTGCATATGAAGTAAAACAATTTATGAAGGATGACTGTATATGAAAGAAAGCACATTTTGAAGGATGTCTGTAGTGCATATGAAGTAAAGCAATTCATGAAGGATGCCTGTATATGAAAGAAAGCACATTTTGAAAGATGTCTGTAGTGCATATGAAGTAAAGCAATTTATGAAGGATGCCTGTATATGAAAGAAAGCACATTTTGAAGGGTGTCTGTAGTGCATATGAAGTAAAGCAATTTATGAAGGATGACTGTATATGAAAGAAAGCACATTTTAAAGGATATCTGTAGTGCATATGAAGTAAAGCAATTTATGAAGGATGCCTGTATATTAAAGAAAGCACATTTTAAAGGATGTCTGTAGTGCATATGAAGTAAAGCAATTTATGAAGGATGACTGTATATGAAAGAAAGCACATTTTAAAGGATATCTGTAGTGCATATGAAGTAAAGCAATTTATGAAGGATGCCTGTATATTAAAAAGAAAGCACATTTTAAAGGATGTCTGTAGTGCATATGAAGTAAAGCAATTTATGAAGGATGACTGTATATGAAAGAAAGCACATTTTAAAGGATATCTGTAGTGCATATGAAGTAAAGCAATTTATGAAGGATGCCTGTATATTAAAGAAAGCACATTTTAAAAGATGTCTGTAGTGCATATGAAGTAAAGCAATTTATGAAGGATGACTGTATATGAAAGAAAGCACATTTTAAAGGATATCTGTAGTGCATATAAAGTAAAGCAATTTATGAAGGATGCCTGTATATTAAAGAAAGCACATTTTAAAGGATGTCTGTAGTGCATATGAAGTAAAGCAATTTATAAAGGATGACTGTATATGAAAGAAAGCACATTTTGAAGGATGTCTGTAGTGCATATGAAGTAAAACAATTTATGAAGGATGACTGTATATGAAAGAAAGCACATTTTGAAGGATGTCTGTAGTGCATATGAAGTAAAGCAATTCATGAAGGATGCCTGTATATGAAAAAGAAAGCACATTTTGAAAGATGTCTGTAGTGCATATGAAGTAAAGCAATTTATGAAGGATGCCTGTATATGAAAAAGAAAGCACATTTTGAAGGATGTCTGTAGTGCATATGAAGTAAAGCAATTTATGAAGGATGACTGTATATGAAAAAAGCACATTTTAAAGGATATCTGTAGTGCATATGAAGTAAAAGCAATTTATGAAGGATGCCTGTATATTAAAGAAAGCACATTTTAAAGGATGTCTGTAGTGCATATGAAGTAAAGCAATTTATAAAGGATGACTGTATATGAAAGAAAGCACATTTTGAAGGATGTCTGTAGTGCATATGAAGTAAAGCAATTTATGAAGGATGACTGTATATGAAAGAAAGCACATTTTGAAGGATGTCTGTAGTGCATATGAAGTAAAGCAATTTATGAAGGATGCCTGTATATGAAAGAAAGCACATTTTGAAGGATATCTGTAGTGCATATGAAGTAAAACAATTTATGGAGAATGCCTGTATATGAAAGAAAGCACATTTTGAAGGATGTCTGTAGTGCATATGAAGTAAAGCAATTTATGAAGGATGACTGTATATGAAAGAAAGCGCATTTTGAATGATGTCTGTAGTGCATATGAAGTAAAGCAATTAATGAAGGATGCCTGTATATGAAAGAAAGCACATTTTGAAGGATGTCTGTAGTGCATATGAATTAAAGCAATTTATGGAGAATGCCTGTATATGAAAGAAAGCACATTTTGAAGGATGTCTGTAGTGCATATGAAGTAAAACAATTCATGAAGGATGACTGTATATGAAAGAAAGCACATTTTGAAGGATGTCTGTAGTGCATATGAAGTAAAGCAATTTATGAAGGATGACTGTATATGAAAGAAAGCACATTTTGAAGGATGTCTGTAGTGCATATGAAGTAAAGCAATTTATGAAGGATGCCTGTATATAAAAGAAAGCACATTTTGAAGGATGTCTGTAGTGCATATGAAGTGAAGCAATTCATGAAGGATGCCTGTATATGAAAAAGAAAGCACATTTTTTTTAAGGATGTCTGTAGTGCGTATGAAGTAAAGCAATTTATGAAGGATGCCTGTATGTGAAAGAAAGCACATTTTGAAGGATGTCTGTAGTGCATATGAATTAAAGCAATTTATGGAGAATGCCTGTATATGAAAGAAAGCACATTTTGAAGGATGTCTGTAGTGCATATGAAGTAAAGCAATTTATGAAGGATGCCTGTATATAAAAGAAAGCACATTTTGAAGGATGTCCGTAGTGCATATGAAGTAAAGCAATTTATGAAGGATGACTGTATATGAAAGAAAGCGCATTTTGAATGATGTCTGTAGTGCATATGAAGTAAAGCAATTAATGAAGGATGCCTGTATATGAAAGAAAGCACATTTTGAAGGATGTCTGTAGTGCATATGAATTAAAGCAATTTATGGAGAATGCCTGTATATGAAAGAAAGCACATTTTGAAGGATGTCTGTAGTGCATATGAAGTAAAGCAATTCATGAAGGATGCCTGTATATGAAAGAAAGCACATTTTGAAGGATGTCTGTAGTGCATATGAAGTAAAGCAATTTATGAAGGATGACTGTATATAAAAGAAAGCACATTTTGAAGGATGTCTGTAGTGCATATGAAGTAAAGCAATTTATGAAGGATGCCTGTATATGAAAGAAAGCACATTTTGAAGGATATCTGTAGTGCATATGAAGTAAAAACAATTTATGGAGAATGCCTGTATATGAAAGAAAGCACATTTTGAAGGATGTCTGTAGTGCATATGAAGTAAAGCAATTTATGAAGGATGCCTGTATATGAAAGAAAGCACATTTTGAAGGATGTCTGTAGTGCATATGAAGTAAAGCAATTTATGAAGGATGCCTGTATATGAAAGAAAGCACATTTTGAAGGATGTCTGTAGTGCATATGAAGTGAAGCAATTCATGAAGGATGCCTGTATATGAAAGAAAGCACATTTTGAAGGATGTCTGTAGTGCGTATGAAGTAAAGCAATTTATGAAGGATGCCTGTATGTGAAAGAAAGCACATTTCGAAGGATGTCTGTAGTGCATATGAAGTAAAGCAATTTATGAAGGATGCCTGTATATGAAAGAAAGCACATTTTGAAAAAATGTCTGTAGGGCATATAAGTAAAGCAATTTATGAAGGATGCCTGTATATG